GGCTTCATCCAGCAGCGGATAGACCCTGCCGTGTATTCTATCCTGACCTCACGAGGGTGGGGGGGTGGGGGGCGCGTGTGAGCGGGTGTTCTAATTAATTGCCATAATGAGCTGGTTAATCGCGTGTAGTCCCCCCGTTAGTGGCGATGTCGCATGAGCAGCGTCGCGTCTCTGCGCTCGTCCCGACAGCTCCCGGCTGGCGCTCTGGCGACGAGAGAGCGGGGGGAAGGGGGGGGGCAGCAGGAGGGGGGGGGGGGCAGCAGGGGGGGGGGGGAGCAGCAGGGGGGGGCAGCTCTCTGATTCTGTCTGTACTCGATGTCAAGACTCGCGTTGACCTTGACTTCCATTCGATAACGAAGCCATTACCAGCGTGGAGTTAGTTTGAATGCAGGTGACATCGCGACTTGACACGCAACACGTGGGCTGTCACGTGTTGCTGTGGGCACACGCGCCGTCATTGCGGAGGCCTTGTGACGTCAACATCTGTACACGTGACTTGGTTGCATTTTACGCGTATGATGGCAATGTGTTCGGGAGCTGAAATGCCAATTTCGAGGTCTGCTGGCCACGAGAGCGCTTCAGGAGAGGGTACGTGTAGTTTCGCTGTTCTTACTCCATGGAAGCAACGCAGACGACAGTGGTTGACGATACCATCCATAGTTTGGTTCGCACGGCGACACCCGCAATGTGGATTTCCTTTAGTGTATCTCGACGAGTCTCCGTGTTGAATACACGGCAAAGGTCGCAAACGGGTTTTGATTCCTTACCCGTACCCCTACCCGGCCGCTCCTGGGTCGCAAACGGGTACCCGTACCCGGCCATACCCGTATCCTACCCGTACCCGGCCGGGTACGGGTAGGGTACGGGTATCGGGTACCTGATTGCGACCTCTGGGATGAAGCCATGTTGCAGGCGTGGGTGGGTTGATTATAGGAACTTTAATTGTGAGAAGAGACAAGACGTTGGGAAATGAGTGACAAACAGTTACTCACCAGTGACTCACGGCCTACCCGTACCCGGCCGCACCAGGGTCGCAAACGGGTACCCATACCCGGCCGGGTACGGATAGCCGGGTATCGGGTAGGGTACGGGTATCGGGTACCCGGTTGCGACCTCTGATACACGGCCCATAGTTCGCGTTGCATGGCAACAATCGCACTCCTGTGGCTCGTGTGTTTAACGTGTCATTTATGCAAGGGATGTGCGAGGTGGCCTGGTGATGTTCTGATGCTGTTGATGGTTCCACCCGTGGTTTGGAGGAATGTAAGACAGCACGTGGCATATGAAGCCGTGTGGTCCGCCATGCAGCACATGCTGATTTTATTATTATTATTATGTGGCCACTGGGAAAAATATTGTTAAAGAACGTTCATGTGTTGTGTGCGCTGACGTGATGGCATCTCCTGCGTGTGCTGTTGGGTGAGTGAGGCTTGGGTTATGCTGTGCACGGCGATATTGATACCACAGACACAGGGATGACAGAAATCACGAGTAAGATAAACGAGCTCCTTTAATTAATGGTGCTGTTAATGCTGCTATAATGGCTCAAACACGTGGGGCGCTGTTGTGCGAAAATTCTGCTCCGAAACATTACCTTCCTAACCTACCCTATCCCTAATCTCACCCAAAACCCTACCCCCTGAGTCTATCCCTAACCCCTACCCTAACCCAGCCATAACCCTACATCCGGTGCCTATCCTTAACCTTAAATCCCTACTCTTTGGTTTTTTCGGTAAAGTCACGTAGGTTAAAAAAGGAAAGAAATAAATTAAATGACGACGTTTCGGAGGCAACACAAGCCTCCGTCTTCAGGTGGAACCGTCACAGCAAAATGACTGTATCAAGTGAAGAGAGCTCTAAGAAACACGACATCTTATATATACTACGTGACTTTACCGAAACAAAGAGTATGGATCCTTGCAGTCACGAAAGCTTCAAATCTAGAACTTAAATCCCTACCATATCCCTAACCCCGGCCCTAACCCTTACCCCTTAAGCCTATCCCTAACCTCTACCCTAACCCCAGCCATTACCTTACCCAATAAGCCTATCCCTAACTCGTAACCGTAATCCTACCCGTCAGCGTGTTCCACCCATGGCTATGTTGCGCTCATTACCCCCCTCAGTCTGTGGGCCCCGTGGGCCCCGTGGATCCCGGGGGTTCAGACCCCAATTGGATTGGGGGCAGCACTTCTCCACTGCAGCGCTTCACGTAAGACCTCCACCCCGCCCCCCACGTCCGTTCAAGACTAGAGGGAGATCCACACGTCGTTGATGAACATTCCTTGTCCCGTCAGCCCGAGGTGGACATGAGCTCAGATCATCATGGTGATGGTCGAACTCTCGTTCGCGTTGCCGGGACCGACGTCTGGCACGACTCGTTGTGTCCGGACGGGGAGACTGACCTCTGACCGGGAGGTCCAGTCGATGGGTCGACACGATGGGAACGTGACCCACGACCTCGGAACGCAGCTCCCACGAAATAAAAGCTCGGACCCCACGTCCCGTTCACACATCTGTCCCTCCACGTAAAACATTTTTATCCCATCAGCCACACTGCCTTCTGGGAGTGCACGGTAGCAACAGCATCCATTCTGGGCTTACGACAAACACAACTCTGGAAAGTTCTTCTTGGTTCTTTCGGTAAAGTCACGTAGAAGGGAAACAATAAAATAATAAAAATAAAACATAATATTTAATTATGTAATATTTTATTATGTTTTATTTTTATTCTTTTATTATTTCCCTTCTACGTGACTTTACCGAAAGAACCAAGAAGATGAATCCCTGCAGTCACGAAAGCTTTAAATCGAATTTTTATTCTTTTATTATTTCCCTTCTACGTGACTTTACCGAAAGAACCAAGAAGATGAATCCCTGCAGTCACGAAAGCTTTAAATCGAAATTTAACTCTGGAAGGGTTTCAACAATCATCATCTCATCAGCAGAGTCGGGCTTCATTGCCTTTCAGATTGTGATTCGTCCGCTTGATTATTTTGTCACTCGTGTTTTAGTAAAACAACTCTGATCTTATCTTATATTTATAGAGCGCCTTTGTTCATTTCGTGGTATGTGCTACAAGGGTCATTACCCGAAACGTCGTCCATGATATTTCCCCCCTTCTAAGGCCACACAGGATTATTGACAAATGTGTTGCGTTTTATGTACTATACAGTCTAGCGTTGTGTCGAACCAGGACTCATATCTAACAGAGAGGGCCCTTGCCTATAAACATCTGGGCAGTTCGCCAGCATTGAGTCATGCAAGCCGGACCGCCGATGAGACGATACATGTCAAAACCCGTCCAGAGATCTGAAATTAGGCGCTCCCAGTTGAGCAGTCCGTGCAGCTGATGGGATGCGTAAGCAAAGCTTTTTATATGCCTTTACGGGAGGGGGGGGGGGGCGGTGGGCGGATATGTATCAGAGCTGTAACGCCTGCTTGTGTATTCTTGTTACGTGATTCCACGGCCGCCTCGAGCTATTTGGAGCCCTAGGCCATTGCATATTCTGCTAAATGCCGGACACTGCCACGCGGTTGCCACCACCGGGAGTGGGAAAACTTTGGCGGTGCCAATGGAGCCGCGCGGTGATTCGGCGTGTCCGCTGGGCGATGGGCTCTCTCCGTGTCAGCCCGGGCACCGCACCGGGCGCGCTCACCGCAACGGGGCAGGCACCAGCGCCCCCTCGTGGACTGTGCGTGCGCGTGTGGGTGCGTGCGTGGGTGCGTGGGTCCGTGCGTGCGTGGGTGGGTGGGTGCGTGCGTGGGTGGGTGCGTGGGTGCGTGCGTGCGTGGGTGCGTGCGTGCGTGGGTGCGTGCGTGCGTGGGTGGGTGGGTGCGTGCGTGGGTGCGTGCGTGGATGCGTGGGTGGGTGCGTGGGTGGGTGCGTGGGTGGGTGCGTGCGCGTGGGTGGGTGCGTGCGTGATGGGACCTGCGTAGTACCTGGAGTGGTATGTTACCGGTAGCCACGTCGGTGCCTGTGGTGGTATGATACAAATACCACGGAGACACCGGTAGTAATATAATACCTGCGGTGAACCGGCTACATCGACGCGGAGTCGTTTCGGGGGTTATCACACGTGGTTACACACGGGGTATGTGGGGTATGGGCTATAGTACAGGGGTAGGAGGAGGGGGGGGGGTCGTTTGGGGGGGGGGGGGGGGGGGGGGGTGAAGGACCCGGAGCCCTTCTCCACACGTTTCCTGTGTTAATCTCTGCTCGCGTTCCCACTGGGAGCAGGGTGGAATTGAGTCGACGGGTCACGGGAACCAGGGTGGGAGCCCCTCCAGGAAAGGCCCTCTCTACACCGTTCGTCTCGGTTACGGGTGACGGCGCGAGTGGTCGTTTTTTGACCATTCCTTCAGCACCTGGGCTGTGCGGCTTGAAGGATGGCAGGACTGGCTTAGACGTCTCTCCCCACTGATGTGGGCCGTGTCCAGGAAATCGAACTCAGCTCCACGGGGTGCATAGTTCACGACGTCGATGATCCGTTACACACCAATCCTGTCACGCTCAAGTACACCCTGACGATGGGTCACCGTGGCCAGTGAGACGGGCCAAGCGGTAGCGCGTTCACGTCTCGTGGAATTTCGCGATTGGAACTCGACAGGCGGCCCTGGTAAATACCGCTGCGTCGCAGCATTAACACCGCGGCAGGTGACCACGCCGTCCCCGTCACTCGCGCGGCAACCGGCGACGCTTTCGAAAGAGGTGTCGGCAAATTGTGTGCCCGGGTCGTCGTACTCCGAATAGTTTTGGCCAAAATGACAAACGTGTTGCCGTGTGCTGCTGTGTGGTGCTGCTGTGTAGTGCTGCTGTTGCACTGCTGCATTGTTGCCGTGTCCATGGCGCGGTGGCGTCGCGCGTGACGGAGACGGCGCCTGCAGCCCAAACACAGAAAACGTGGGGGGGGTCCGTACGCGGGGGTGCTCCGTACGCGGGGGGGGGGGGGGGGTTACAGCCCCCCACTCCGCTTCATGGCTGTGCTTCTATAGGAGAGTCCGGGGGAGGGGGGGGGGGGTCGCGGGAGATTTACAAAAACGCACAGGCCCCGCGCTTTGGCATCGACGCGAAACGTCAGCGCGGCTGGAAGCATCGAGAATAATACGCGTGTGGGCCCTGCCGCACACGGCCATTGCATAATGCTGCGTCGAGACGGACGGTGGGGGGGGGGTGGGGGGTTATGGATAATGGGGGGGGCAGGGGGGGGCACAGGGAGCCTTGGGGGGGCCCTTATTTTCATCCCCAGTCACTTGGCGCCACGGGGCTACACGTGGGTAGACGTCGCCAGGCTTCGTCCCATCTGGACCCCCTCCCACGCACGCCCCAGCTGGAGACACGTGGCTTTCCCGTGCCGCAGAATCCTCCTCCTTTACATTGCAGATCCTTCATTGCTCCCGTCTGTCCATCGGGTTCCCCGCTTTCTCCCACGTTCCTCGTTCCCTCTTCGTCAGCACGGAGGAGCAGCAGCAGCAGCGTCGGCGTCGCGATCCGGTGAAGTTTGTCCGGCGTCAGCCGAGCGCGCCCGACTCCGTGGTGGGGATGTGGAAGAGCAGCTTCGGTAAGTCTTCAAACGCACAACAGCAGCAGCCCGCGTTTACTGAAACACTCACACCCCACTCACCCCACTCACCGCCCCGGGTCTAACCCTCCCACTGCTCCACTCTGGAATTCCCTCCTCGCGTCGTCGTCGTCGTCGTCATCATCATAGCGATCGTCTCTTTCCCCGAATCTCTGCTAATAAATAACCTGGCGCAACTCAAGATGCTTGTGCTCAATCAACTCCGTGTGTAAAGGGAAGCAGGACCCTTCCAAGTGCCGGCAGTTTAGACCCCGACCCCCCCTCCCCCCTCCCCCTCCGGCGGCTCACCCACCAGTGGCAAGGCTGGACACTAATTTAATCAGGAGGCTGAGAAGCCAATTAATGGCACAGATGCCTTCGCGGCCCCGAGTTAATTAGCGGCATGCGGCGCCAGCAAAGAAGAAGTGTGGGGAGTGGGCGGGGGGCGGGGGGGCGAGGTCGTGATTGACGGGTGGATGGTGCTGCCACCCGCAGGGAGAGAGAGGGGGCTGTGCAGGGGAGCTCCCAAATCCACCCCCTCGGTGTGAAGGGGTGGCCGAGAGGACCAACACCGCAGCTGCTGCAGCTGCTGCTGCTGCGGTGTTGGTGTCGCTGCTGTTGCTACAGCTGCTGCTGCTGCTGCTGCTCCTCTTGCTGCTGCTGCTTCTCTTGACCCCCCTCCCGCCCACCCCACCACGGTGCTGACCCCGTGACCCCCGCCGTGGTGGATGACGATGTCGCCACAATTAATTAAATATTAAAATCCGGTCACGTGTTCATCACGTGAAGGACGGAGCTGGGAGAGGTGGAGGGGGGGCACCGCCTCCCCCCTCCTCGTGGCCTTCACTTTCAGTCCCAACGTTGAAAGATTATTCCCGGATTTGGCCCCGTCATGGGAACGTCCTCCAACCCATCGAGGTGCTGGGGGGGGGGGGGCGGTGTATTGCTATGGCTGCTCCCCCGAGAAGGGGGAGTTGGGGGTGGGGGCTGGGGTGATGTTGAGGGAGAGTGCCCCCCCCCCCCCACGGGGTCAGTAGGGCGTGAAGCGGCTGTAGGCTCCACGGTACAGGCTCGCCTGCGACGCGGACACACGGGGGGGGGGGGGGGGGGAGAAGGGGAGGAGCGCACAGGAGGGGGGGGGGGGGTCCGAGGTCAGGGGTCACGGTTGTGGGACAGATTGGAGCGCAGGGTCCATGCAAAGTGCAGCTGGGAGCAGCTGGGAGCAGCCGTCACCGTTGGGAATCAGCGAGACTGCCGCACGTGGAGCATGCGCGGTGTGTGTTTGTGGTTTGTGTTGCGTCCACGAACGACGGAGGGCAGAGGAGCGACGCTCACAACAACGAGCGGAGCGCCGGGCAGCTAAAGCACATAGAGTTGGCACAGTGGGGAGCACAGTCGGTGCGCCTGCCAGCCATCTCAGTCAGTCAACCCGTGGCACATGGCTCTGTCACGTGACATCCTGCCAACGGGCCTTTAACGTTCTAGATTTGAAGCTTTCGTGACTGCAAGGATTCATTCGGTAAAGTCACGTAGGTAAAAAAAATGAAATAAAAATTAATAAAAATAAAATAATAAAAATCACGACGTTTCGGAGGCAACACAAGTCTCCGTCATCAGGTGGGACCGTCACAGCCAGATTTGCTGTATGAAGTGAAACGTCGTGATTTTTATTATTATTATTTTATTTTTATTAATTTTAATTTCAGTTTTTTTACCTACGTGACTTTACCGAAAAAACTAAGAGCATGGACATTCAACACTTCACGTGGCCTCAAAGTGCAACCGAGGATGACACGAGCGCCGTGGTGCCAATGCCATCACTGAGCGGCGAGTGGCAGCTGTGTTTTCTTGATTCCTGCTGTGCGTGGCGCGTCACTGGGGTCGCGCGCGTTACTGAGGTCACGCGCGCGTGCTAGTGGGGGGGGGGGGGGGGGGGTCACTCACCACGGTGCTGACCCCATAGGTGGCGGCGGGGCCCAGCGCCGGATGGAACGCCTCCGCCGGGGCGAACACGCGTCCGTAGCTACGGCGACACGCAACACAAAGACAAAGATCACCCGTGTAGCTTTGACAGACTCAAGGGGCAAGTGCTGTTCGCGAGCATCTATGAAGACCGGCACAGCACACGAGGGGGTGGGTGGGTGGCCAACACCACGCCCGGCCGCCTTTGTCTCCCTAGTGCTGATGTTTAGACACCACACCAGGTACTCGTTTAAGGTGAACAATTGCTGTATGTGTTATTGGTCCCGAGCGGGAATTGGGAGCAGCATCTTTGACACACAGTACAACACACACCACACAATACACACACACAAGCACCACGCACAGCACACATACATACCACACACAGCACACACACACAGCACACATACATACCACACACAGCACACATACACAGCACACACAGTACACATACACACCACACACAGCACACACACACAGCACAACACACACCACACACAGCACAACACACACACAGCACACAGTACACATACACACCACACACAGCACACACACACAGCACAACACACACCACACACAGCACACACACACAGTACACATACACACCACAACAAGCACCACACACAGCACAACACACACCACACACAGCACACATACACATCACACAGTACACATACACACCACACACAGCACACACACACAGCACAACACACACCACACACAGCACACACACACAGTACACATACACACCACAACAAGCACCACACACAGCACAACACACACCACACACAGCACAACACACACCACACACAGCACACACACACAGTACACATACACACCACACACAGCACAACACACACCACACACAGCACACACACACAGTACACATACACACCACAACAAGCACCACACACAGCACAACACACACACAGCACACATACACAGCACACAGTACACATACACACCACACACAGCACACACACACAGCACAACACACACCACACACAGCACACACACACAGCACAACACACACCACACACAGCACACATACACAGCACACACAGTACACATACACACCACACACAGGACACACACACAGCACAACATACACCACACACAGCACACAGTACACATACACACCACACACAGCACACACACACAGTACACATACACACCACACACAGCACACACACACAGTACACATACACACCACACACAGCACACACACACAGTACACATATACACCACAACAAGCACCACACACAGCACAACACACACCACACACAGCACACAGTACACATACACACCACACACAGCACACATACACAGCACACAGTACACATACACACCACACACAGCACACACACACAGTACACATACACACCACACACAGCACACACACACAGTACACATACACACCACAACAAGCACCACACACAGCACATACACACACCACACGCACGCGCCACACACAGCAAACACCACACACGCACAACACACACACCACACAAACCACACGCACTGCACACGCACAACACGCACCACACGCAGGATCAATGTATTATTTGATCACAAACGAGTATTAAATGAAATGTTATTCATTGTAATCAATCATCGCAATCGTAATACATTATGAATAATTCCAGTGATTATATTGTCATTGTTACGTGGGGTCACGGAGCGTGCGAACGCGACCGCACCTGAGCCACACCTCCTCACCTGTCGCTGTAGGCGGTCGTGGCAGGGGCAGCGTAGCGGTACGTGGCATAGCCGCCCTGGGTGGGAGGGGGGGGGGCACATGGGGAGGGGCAGGGGCAGCATGGATAGAGGGCAGTGTCAGCATGGATAGAGGGCAGGGGCAGCATGGATAGAGGGCAGGGGCAGCGTGGATAGAGGGCAGGGGCAGCGTGGATAGAGGGCAGGGGCAGCGTGGATAGAGGGCAGGGGCAGCGTGGATAGAGGGTAGGGGGCAGCATGGATAGAGGGCAGGGGGCAGCATGGATAGAGGGCAGGGGGCAGCATGGATAGAGGGCAGGGGGCAGCATGGATAGAGGGCAGGGTGCAGCATGGATAGAGGGCAGGGTCAGCATGGATAGAGGGCAGGGGGCAGCATGGATAGAGGGCAGGGCGCAGCATGGATAGAGGGCAGGGGGCAGCATGGATAGAGGGCAGGGGGCAGCATGGATAGAGGGCAGGGGGCAGCATGGATAGAGGGCAGTGTCAGCATGGATAGAGGGAAGGGGCAGCATGGATAGAGGGCAGGGGCAGCACGGATAGAGGGCAGGGGCAGCATGGATAGAGGGCAGGGGGCAGCATGGATAGAGGGCAGGGGCAGCACGGATAGAGGGCAGTGTCAGCATGGATAGAGGGAAGGGGCAGCATGGATAGAGGGAAGGGGCAGCATGGATAGAGGGCAGGGGCAGCATGGATAGAGGGCAGGGGCAGCATGGATAGAGGGCAGGGGCAGCATGGATAGAGGGAAGGGGCAGCATGGATAGAGGGCAGGGGCAGCACGGATAGAGGGAAGGGGCAGCATGGATAGAGGGCAGTGTCAGCATGGATAGAGGGCAGGGGGCAGCATGGATAGAGGGCAGGGGCAGCATGGATAGAGGGAAGGGGCAGCATGGATAGAGGGCAGTGTCAGCACGGATAGAGGGCAGTGTCAGCATGGATAGAGGGAAGGGGCAGCATGGATAGAGGGAAGGGGCAGCATGGATAGAGGGCAGTGTCAGCATGGATAGAGGGTAGTGTCAGCATGGATAGAGGGCAGGGGGCAGCATGGATAGAGGGCAGTGTCAACATGGATAGAGGGCAGTGTCAACATGGATAGAGGGCAGTGTCAGCATGGATAGAGGGTAGGGGGCAGCATGGATAGAGGGCAGTGTCAGCACGGATAGAGGGCAGGGGCAGCATGGATAGAGGGCAGTGTCAGCATGGATAGAGGGCAGGGTCAGCATGGATAGAGGGCAGTGTCAGCATGGATAGAGGGCAGTGTCAACATGGATAGAGGGCAGTGTCAACATGGATAGAGGGCAGTGTCAGCATGGATAGAGGGCAGGGTCAACATGGATAGAGGGCAGTGTCAGCATGGATAGAGGGCAGGGTCAGCATGGATAGAGGGCAGGGTCAGCATGGATAGAGGGCAGGGGGCAGCATGGATAGAGGGCAGTGTCAGCATGAATAGAGGGCAGGGTCAGCATGGATAGAGGGCAGGGTCAGCATGGATAGAGGGCAGGGGGCAGCATGGATAGAGGGTAGGGTAAACATGGATAGAGGGCAGTGTCAGCATGGATAGAGGGCAGTGTCAGCATGGATAGAGGGCAGTGTCAGCATGGATAGAGGGCAGTGTCAACATGGATAGAGGGCAGTGTCAGCATGGATAGAGGGCAGGGTCAGCATGGATAGAGGGCAGGGTCAGCATGGATAGAGGGCAGGGGGCAGCATGGATAGAGGGCAGGGTCAGCATGGATAGAGGGCAGTGTCAGCATGGATAGAGGGCAGGGTCAGCATGGATAGAGGGCAGGGGGCAGCATGGATAGAGGGCAGGGTCAGCATGGATAGAGGGCAGGGGGCAGCATGGATAGAGGGCAGGGGCAGCATGGATAGAGGGCAGGGGCAGCATGGATAGAGGGGAGGGGGCAGCATGGATAGAGGGCAGGGGCAGCACAGATAGAGGGCAGGGGCAGCATGGATAGAGGGCAGGGGCAGCATGGATAGAGGGCAGGGGGCTGAATGGATAGAGGGCAGTGTCAGCATGGATAGAGGGCAGGGGGCAGCATGGATAGAGGGCAGGGTCAGCATGGATAGAGGGCAGGGGGCAGCATGGATAGAGGGCAGGGGCAGCATGGATAGAGGGCAGGGGGCAGCATGGATAGAGGGCAGGGGCAGCATGGATAGAGGGCAGGGTCAGCATGGATAGAGGGCAGGGGGCAGCACAGATAGAGGGCAGGGGCAGCATGGATAGAGGGCAGGGGCAGCATGGATAGAGGGCAGGGGGCAGCATGGATAGAGGGCAGGGTCAGCATGGATAGAGGGCAGGGGGCAGCATGGATAGAGGGCAGGGTCAGCATGGATAGAGGGCAGGGGGCAGCATGGATAGAGGGCAGGGGCAGCATGGATAGAGGGCAGGGGCAGCATGGATAGAGGGTAGGGGGCAGCATGGATAGAGGGCAGGGGCAGCACAGATAGAGGGCAGGCGCAGCATGGATAGAGGGCAGGGGCAGCATGGATAGAGGGCAGGGGGCAGCATGGATAGAGGGCAGTGTCAGCATGGATAGAGGGCAGGGGGAAGCATGGATAGAGGGCAGTGTCAGCATGGATAGAGGGTAGGGGGCAGCATGGATAGAGGGCAGGGGGAAGCATGGATAGAGGGCAGTGTCAGCATGGATAGAGGGTAGGGGGCAGCATGGATAGAGGGCAGTGTCAGCATGGATAGAGGGCAGGGGCAGCATGGATAGAGGGCAGGGGCAGCATGGATAGAGGGCAGTGTCAGCATGGATAGAGGGCAGTGTCAGCATGGATAGAGGGCAGGGGCAGCATGGATAGAGGGCAGGGGCAGCATGGATAGAGGGCACTGTCAGCATGGATAGAGGGCAGGGGGCAGCATAGATAGAGGGCAGGGTCAGCATGGATAGAGGGCAGTGTCAGCATGGATAGAGGGTAGGGGCAGCATGGATAGAGGGCAGGGTCAGCATGGATAGAGGGTAGGGGCAGCATGGATAGAGGGCAGGGTCAGCATGGATAGAGGGCAGGGTCAGCATGGATAGAGGGTAGGGGCAGCATGGATAGAGGGCAGGGGCAGCATGGATAGAGGGTAGGGGGCAGCATGGATAGAGGGCAGGGGCAGCATGGATAGAGGGCAGGGGCAGCATGGATAGAGGGCAGGGGCAGCATGGATAGAGGGCAGGGGCAGCATGGATAGAGGGCAGGGGGCAGCATGGATAGAGGGCAGGGGCAGCATGGATAGAGGGCAGGGGCAGCATGGATAGAGGCAGGGGCAGCATGGATAGAGGACAGTGTCAGCATGGATAGAGGGCAGGGGGCAGCATGGATAGAGGGCAGGGGCAGCATGGATAGAGGACAGTGTCAGCATGGATAGAGGGCAGTGTCAGCACAGATAGAGGGCAGGGGGCAGCATAAATAGAGGGCAGTGTTAACATGGATAGAGGGCAGGGGGCAGCATGGATAGAGGGCAGGGGCAGCATGGATAGAGGGCAGGGTCAGCATGGATAGAGGGCAGAGGGCAGCATGGATAGAGGGCAGTGTCAGCACAGATAGAGGGCAGGGGGCAGCATAAATAGAGGGCAGTGTCAACATGGATAGAGGGCAGAGGGCAGCATGGATAGAGGGCAGGGGCAGCATGGATAGAGGGCAGGGGCAGCATGGATAGAGGGCAGAGGGCAGCATGGATAGAGGGCAGGGGCCGCATGGATAGAGGGCAGGGGGCAGCATGGATAGAGGGCAGAGGGCAGCATGGATAGAGGGCAGGGGGCAGCATGGATAGAGGGCAGTGTCAGCATGGATAGAGGGCAGGGCGCAGCATGGATAGAGGGCAGAGGGCAGCATGGATATAGGACAGGGGGCAGCATGGATAGAGGGCAGGGGGCAGCATGGATAGAGGGCAGTGTCAGCATGGATAGAGGGCAGGGGCAGCATGGATAGAGGGTAGGGGGCAGCATGGATAGAGGGCAGTGTCAGCATGGATAGAGGGCAGAGGGCAGCATGGATAGAGGGCAGGGGGCAGCATGGATAGAGGGCAGGGGCAGCATGGATAGAGGGCAGGGGTAGCATGGATAGAGGGCAGTGTCAGCATGGATAGAGGGCAGTGTCAGCATGGATAGAGGGCAGGGGGCAGCATGGATAGAGGGCAGGGACAGCATGGATAGAGGGCAGTGTCAGCATGGATAGAGGGCAGTGTCAGCATGGATAGAGGGCAGGGGGCAGCGGAGCCGGAGAGAACTGTGCAGTGCCACGGGGACTCACGTAGAGGTCGGCAGCGTAGAACCCATCCTGGTAGACCACTCTGCAGACAGACAGACACACACACAGACATTTACACACAGACACACAGACATTTACACACACACAGACATTTACACACAGACACACACACAGACATTTACACACACACAGAGAGACATTTACACACACAGACATTTACACACAGACACACACACAGACATTTACACACCGACACACACACAGACACACACAGACATTTACACAGACATTTACACACACAGACACACACACAGACATTTACACACAGACAGACATTTACACACAGACAGACATTTACACACACAAACAGACACACACACACACAGACATTTACACAGACACACAAACATTTACACACAGACACACAGACATTTACACACACAGACATTTACACCCAGACACACACACAGACATTTACACACACAGACATTTACACCCAGACACACACATAGACACACACAGACATTTACACCCAGACACACACACAGACACACACAGACATTTACACCCAGACACACACACAGACACACACAGACATTAACACACAGACAGACACACACACAGACACACACAGACATTTACACAGACATTTACACACACACACAGACATTTACACACAGACGACACACACACAGACATTTACACACACGAAGACAAAGACCCCCATATAGCCTTAACAGACTGTAGGGGCAAGTGCTGTTAGCGAGCACCTATGAAGGCTGGCACGGCACAAGAGGGGGTGAGTGGCCAACACCACGACCGGCCGCCTTTGTCTCCCTGGTGACGATGTACCAAGTACTAATTTAAGGCTGAGTCGACCTAGGAGAGGCCCAGCACCGGTTAAGATAATCGCCACCGGTGTTGGCCGCGAGCGGTGATTCGGACACGGAGACTCGGCAGGAAGCTGCGACCCCGCTCAAGGGGTTCATAGGTCGTGACCCCACAACCCTCTGTGAGATGAACAGGCCTTGACCCCATGACCCATGACGGAGACGGAGAAGACGCCGGCTCACCCCCCGTATGCGGGCATGGTGGGGGGCGGCACGCGGAGGGCGCTGAACACGGCCCGGGCCCTGCCCCTCGCGTGGTTCCCACGGAACGCCGCGGCCGCTGCGGCCGCGGCGGCCGCTGCGGCCGCGGCGGCCGCTGCTGTGGCCGGGACGGCGGCCGGGACGGCGGCGGCGGCCGCGGGGAAGGGGATGCCCGCCACTGTGGGGGGGGGGGGGGGGGGTGGGGGGTACGGGGCAGAGCACACGACAAATAAAGACCTCCCGTGTAGACCACGCAAGCCGTCGGGACAAGTGCTGTCAGCGAGCAGCGGCGCCTACGATGGCCTTACCAACGGCCGAACCCGGCCGCCTTTGTCTCCCCAGTGCTGATGTCGACGTGATGCGCTGCGACAAATATTCAGCGTCGGTGGCCGGTCCGGCTGGAGCGGAGCCCTGCGGCCCGCGGTGTGAGTGCGAGTTCACTCACCGGCGTAGATCTCTGGCGCGTACACCGCGCTCACCACAGGGTTCCCTTTCCATCCTGGGCGGGTGTGGGGGGGGGGGGCACAGGGGAGGGGGGCACGGGGTGGATGGCAGTGACCACAGCATTGGTGGACATGGAAACGTGAGATTGCGGCTGTGGTACCTCTTCGTTCTGAAGCGGCGGTCCAAGTTCACTGACACTCTTACTCACTCACCTACAAACACACACTCACTCACTCACACACTCACTCACACACTCACTCACGCACTCACTCACCCACAAACACACACTCACTCACACACTCACTTACACACTTACACATTCACTCACACATTCACTCACACACTCACTCACACACTCACTCACCTACAAACACACACTCACTCACACACTCACTTACACACTCACTCACATACTCACACACTCACATACTCACTCACATACTCGCATACACACTTACTCACTCACCTACAAACACACACTCACTCACATATTCACACACTCACTCACACACTCACATACACACTTACACACTCACTCACTCACCTACAAACACACACTCACACACTCACATACACACTTACACACTCACTCACATACTCACACACTCACACACTCACATACTCACACACTTACTCACACACTCACAGACACACTTACACACTCACTCACATACTCACACACTCACTCACACACTCACAGACATACTCACTAACACACTCACACTCACTCACACACTCACTCACACATTCACAGACACACTTACACACTCACTCACATACTCACACACTCACACACTCACTCACACACTCACAGACATACTCACTAACACACTCACACACTCACACACTTACTCACACACTCACACACTCACTCACACACTCACAGACATACTCACTAACACACTCACACACTCACACACTTACTCACTCCCACCTGCAAGAGACACCAGAATCTCGAATGAGAGAACCCGGTTCTGACAGCGTCGGTCGCACGCTGAGTGCCCTGACAAGTGACGGAGTCCCGGGACATCCCGGGACGCCGCTACCATCAGAGATCGGTGATGTGTAATGGGAATTCGTGATGGGTGATGGTGGGTGGTCGGGGTGATGTTAAATGTTGGTAATAGGAGGTTATTATGGGGGTGATGGTGGGAGTGATGGGAATGATGAGATCGGGGGGTGATGGTGGTATTGATATGGGTGATGGTGGCGGTGGTGACAGGCACGGTGATGTGGGGATGATGGTGAAAGGGATGGTTCGAGATATGGGATGATAGCGAATGATGTGGCTTAATCCCAGAAGCGATCATTCTCTCACTCACTCATTCACATATATACTCACTCATTCATTATTCACTCACTCGCGTATTCATTATTGAGAGTGCAGCACAGATGGCGCCGCAGCATCTCTCCGTGCAGCCAGCAAGGAGGAAGTGGGGGGGGGGCGACTGTTTTGTGTCTGTGCGTGTGTGCTCCTGTGTGTGTGTGCTCCTGTGTGTGTTTGTGCTTGTCTGTGTGTGTGTTCCTGCGGAGCGCCGCGTGGCTAAAGCACAGCAAGTTGGCACAGTAGGGGGCACAGTTGGGTGCATCGGTCAGTCGTCTCAGTCAGTCGACCCGTGGCATCTGGGTCTGCCCCGTGACCTCCTGCCAGCGGGCGTTCGACATTTCACGTGGCCTCAAGGTGCACATGGCCTGGCACAAGCGCCGTGGTGACGTCACCGCTACTTAGTGGCGAATGGCGGTTGTTGTTGTTGTGTGTTTGTGTTTGTCTGTGTGTCCGTGTTTGTGTGCCTGTTAAGGGAGCGGCAGTGTCGCGGTTAGCACTGCGCTGCACTTTGAACCCGGCGTCCCGATTTCAAATCCCGCTCACGGCCAACACGAGTCACGATAATCTTAACCGATTCTGGGCCTCCCCTAGGTACACTCGGCCTAAAATTAATACCTGGCGCGGTGTGTAAGCATCGTCACTGGGGAGACAAAGGCGGCCGGGCGTGGTGCTGGCCACCCACCCCCTCATGTACCGTGCCGGCTTTCATAGGTGCTCGCTAACAGAACTTGCCCCAACAGTCTGTTCAGGCTATACGGGAGATTTTTGTCTGTGTTGTGTGTCCGTGTGTGTCTATGGCAGGGGTCGGCAACCAAAATAACAAGAAGAGCCATTTCTTTCCAATTCGGTACAAAATTCAGTATTTCAAGAGCCGCAATGCATCTGAGTACATACTGTACATACGTACTCATCGTCAAGAAGCAGCCCGTAAAGAGCCGCATGCGGCTCCAGAGCCGTAGGTTGCCGACCCCTGGTCTATGGGGAGCGGTAGTGTAGCGCTACGAATCCGGTGACCAGAGTTCAATTACCGATAACGACCAGTAACAGGAGCGAATAACTGAACTGGTTCTGGCCTCCCCTAGATCCGCTCAGCCTTGAGTACCTGGTGCGATAAGGATAAACGCAGGAGAGACAAAGGCGGCCGGGTGTGGTTCCGACAACTCCACACCCTAATGGGGGAGAGGAGGGAGGGGGTCTTTCTATGTGAACACACACACGCAACTACAACATCCGAGGCTGCGAGGTGCACTATGAAGCATGGAAGGCTTTCTGCTATGGGTCGATTTATATCACTAATCAAGGCATACAAAGATAAAGATCCCCCTGTAGCCTGAACGGACTGTCGGGGCAAGTGCTGTTAGCGAGCACTTATAAAGGCCGGCACGGCACACAAAGAGAGGCGCTGTGGTTAGCACCACGCCGGACCGCCTTTGTCTCCCCAACGTTGATTTTTCCACACTGCACCGAATGCTCATTTAAGGCCGAGTCGACCTAGGTGCGAGGCCCAGAACCCGTTGAGACATTCGTCGGGTGGCCGACCGCTCGCCAGGTGAGAAAAGGTCGCAGCCGCTCATGGAGCTCTCCCTCACCGTTGCTTAACGACGCCACGGCTTTCTTGTTCGTCATCACCCGCGCTGTGGCGTTGTTCACCTGCGGAGCGGGTGGGGGAGAGGAGGGAGGGGGGGGACAGGGGGACAGGTGAGACGAGTCGTCAGGGGGTGGGGTGGGGTGGGTGGTCGTGCGTGTGGCATTGCCTCCATGCCCCCTCCCCCCACCGCCGTGGCTCAAGCTCCCGAGGAGGGGGTCCCAACATCAATCGAAGGAGGGGAGAGCAAATTCGTGCACGGGTCACGTGCGTGCGTGCGCGTGCGTGCGCGTGCACATGCGCGCAAGGGGGTGGGGGCGGGGGCGGGCGGGGGGAGGGGGGCCTCGGCATGCGGCACCGCGGGGTTAGGGGGGGCTGCTGCTCCTACTCATCATCATCATCCTCCTCCACCTCCTGCCAGAACTTCGCCTTCCACGCTTCACGCGATAGCCTCGAAGTGCACCCAGCCCGGCCACAGTTCGAGTCCAGGAACTCCCTTGAAGAGGAGACTAGGGGGGGGGGGGAATGGCCCTGACTGCAGCATTCTCTTGAACTTCGCCGTACGGTCCGGTCCCGCTACGACCGTCATCAACGCTCGCCAACGTCGCACGAGGCCACGCGTTGGGACTATGCTCGGGTTCTTGTTAATGCTGTGCGTTGCGAAAAACCGGTTCGAACCGGTTCGCCGCACTTGCATAAATGCCTCCGCCAATAAACGTGCTCTGTTGACCCCTTTCTACACAAGAAACGACCGAAAGCGGCTGCTCCAAAGGTCATGAGCACGCTGGAGCGACTCGATCTCCCGGCACGGCACTGGAGCAATCTTTAGTAATAGGTTTTTACCCTTTCAACTGGTACAAAAACTGACACCTTTATACAAGGCATCACGTTTGCAATAACCACAACACAAGCAGTCAAAATGCAAACAAAAAGAAACAACTCTGATGATGATAATGATATGCAAACAAAAAGAAACAACTCTGATGATGATAATGATATGCATTGTCATTATCATCATCAGAGTTGTTTCTTTTTGTTTGCATTTTGACTGCTTGTGTTGTGGTTATTGCAAACATGATGCCTTGTATAAAAGGTGTCAGTTTTTGTACCAGTTGAAAGGGTAAAAACCTATCACTATATTTTGCCACTGGTAAAGGAGGTCTGAGAGTGTGGAGCAATCTTCTGAACCGTTCCCCCTCCTCCCCACCCGACTCACCGCAGCCCGTGCGGAAGAGTAGGCCAAAGACTCCCCTCTCTCTCTCTCACACTAGTGGAGGGCCACCTTTGGGCGAGCTGCGTGCACGATGAACGAATCCGTGCGCCGTGACTCATTGGATTTGTTTGGCTGCGTTGGGTGGCGGAGGGTCTTGACGACACGCATTTATTCGGATCATGACGTGGCCTGACCCCAAACAAGACTCGATTATACCGCAATGCTCATCATGATCATCATCGCCATGAACTATGGAGGGAAGTTGACCCGGAGGTTTGGAGATGGGAGTGGGGTCCGGGTTAGGGGGGCAAGCGGTTTGGCCGGTCGGGGTTAAATTATTATTCTCATCGTCACCACCACCAATACCACCACCACCACCAACCTCATCAACATCCTCGAGACAGTGAGCCGTGTAACACCACCACCACCAACAACCTCTTTGTGAACACAAACAAGCCAGGCATCAACATGCAAATCACGTTACACAAACATGTGATGGCACGGGCTGGGGGGGGGGGGGTCCCTACTCCCTAGGGGGCCCGAGAGGGGGCCCCGGGGGCCCGGGAGACGGACAGGCGCCCTCGGGGATAGACGGGACCAGGGATGGCGCCTCCTGTAGCAGCAGCAGCAGCAGCTTCAGCACCACCTGTCAGAACCAATCACAGCCCGGCACGCCTGGCATCGCACATCCAGCACGGCTACTCACACAGCACGGCTACTCACACAGCACGGCTACTCACACAGCACGGCTACTCACACAGCACGGCTACTCACACAGCACGGCTACTCACACAGCATGCCTACTCACACAGCACGGCTACTCACACAGCACGCCTAGTACATCACGTCTGGCATAGCACACTCAACACACAGCACGGCTACTCACACAGCACGCCTAGCATAGCACACTCAACACACAGCACGACTACTCACACAGCACGTCTAGCATAGCACACTCAACACACAGCACGGCTACTCACACAGCACGCCTAGTATAGTACACTCAACACAGCACGGCTACCAACAACAGCATAGCTTACACAGAACGCCCGGCATAGCACAATCAAACACAATGCGGCTGAGAGCGCAACGACCACAGCATGTCTAACACAGCACGGCTAACACAGCAAGGGCACAGCACGCACAACAGCTTGGCCTCAGCGTCACCCGCACACCCCACTCAGCTCACACCCCACTCAGCTCACACCCCACTCAGCTCACACCCCACTCAGCTCACACCCCACTCAGCTCACACCCCACTCAGCTCACACCCCACTCAGCTCTCCTACCACGCCTCTCCCGTGCGTGAGTGTCAAGGTGGGGCGCGGAGGTGGGGGGAGCTGCAGGTGGCATCACGTGACGCTCACTCCACCTGGAAATTAACCCCCCCCCTCCGCCCCCCCCCCCCGCAACCCCCCCACCCCTCCGGCCCCCCACACCCCCCCCGTAACCCCCCCCCGCACCCCCCCCTACACCCCCCCCCTCCGGCCCCCCACAACCCCCCCGCAACCCCCCCGCAACCCCCCCCGCACCCCCCCCACCCCTCCGGCCCCCCGCAACTCCCACCCGCCCCCTCCCCAGGGCAGCAGGTGGAGGCTCAAGCCGCACTATGAATATTGCAGAGGCCGCGTGCTGCACAATTAGCTACAGTGAGCAGTTACAGCGCTCCTCACCACACTCACCATACTCACTCACTCACCACACTCACCCACTCACCACCCTCACCACACTCACTCACTCACCACGTTCACTCACTAACTACACTCACTCACTCACCACACTCACTCACTACACTCACTCCTCACTCACCACACTCACTCACCCACCACACTCACCATACTCACTCCTCATCACACTCACCACACTCACTCACTCACCACACTCCTCACCACACTCACTCACCACACTCACCACAATCAATGCACTCACTCACCACACTCACTCACCACACTCCTCATCACACTCCTCACCACACCCACCACACTCACTCACCACACTCACCACACTCACCCCACTCACTCACTCACCACACTCACTCACCACACTCACCACACTCACTCACTCACTCACCACACTCCTCACCACACTCCTCACCACACACACTCACCACACTCACCACACTCACTCACCACACTCACCTCACTCACCACACTCACTCACCACACTCACTCACCACACACTCACCACACTCACTCACCACACTCACTCACCACACTCACCACACTCACTCACTCACCTCACTCACTCACCTCACTCACCACACTCCTCACCACACTGCTCACCATACTCACTTACCACACTCACTCACCACACTCCTCACCACACTCACTCACCACACTCACTCACTCACCACACACACTCACCACACACACTCACCACACTCACTCACCACACTCACTCACCACACACACTCCCACACTCACTCACCACACTCACTCACCACTCACTCACCACACACTCACCACACTCACTCACCACACACTCACTCACCACACACACTCACCACACTCATTCACCACACACACTCCCACACTCACTCACCACACACACTCACCACACACACTCACCACACTCACTCACCACACACACTCCCACACCACACTCACCACACTCACTCACTCACCACACTCACCACACTTACTCACTCACCACACTCACCACACTCACTCACCACACTCACTCACCACACTCACCACACACACTCACTAAATCCACACACCACGCGCATCATCCCGCCCCTCTTTGTCTCTCCCTCCGTCGACAGACGCGACACCAAGGCACGGACATCGCAAAGCAGCGGGACTCCGACTCACGGCCCCGGCAAGCGGCAGCGCCAGGCCGCGCACTGCTGATGAACCTCGCGGGCTGCTGATGATGAACCTCGCGGGCTGCTGATGATGAACCTCGCGGGCTGCTGATGATGAACCTCGCGGGCTGCTGATGATGAACCTCGCGGGATGCTGATGATGAACCTCGCGGGATGCTGATGATGAACCTCGCGGGCTGCTGATGATGAACCTCGCGGGCTGCTGATGATGAACCTCGCGGGCTGCTGATGATGAACCTCGCGGGATGCTGATGATGAACCTCGCGGGATGCTGATGATGAACCTCGCGGGCTGCTGATGATGAACCTCGCGGGCTGCTGATGATGAACCTCGCGGGCTGCTGATGATGAACCTCGCGGGCTGCTGATGATGAACCTCGCGGGATGCTGATGATGAACCTCGCGGGATGCTGATGATGAACCTCGCGGGCTGCTGATGATGAACCTCGCGGGCTGCTGATGATGAACCTCGCGGGCTGCTGATGATGAACCTCGCGGGATGCTGATGATGAACCTCGCGGGCTGCTGATGATGAACCTCGCGGGATGCTGATGATGATGAACCTCGCGGGCTGCTGATGATGAACCTCGCGGGCTGCTGATGATGAACCTCGCGGGCTGTTGATGATGAACCTCGCGGGCTGCTGATGATGAACCTCGCGGGCTGCTGATGATGAACCTCGCGGGCGCGGGAGGGGGAAGATGTCGTGAGGACTGGTCACCATCGCCCCCCCCCCAAAACCGCCTAGCGGCCGGCAACAATCAGCACTCGCGCGGTGGTAACGGATCACTGTTGTGGCGTAACGCGTTTGTCTTGAAGTGGGCGGCGGGGCGGGGGGGGTCATGGCCAGGAGGATGAAGAAGGCGGCTCGCTTCGTCAACAGCGACAACACCCACGGGGGCAGCGTCGCACGCGCGAGTTGTCGTCAGCCTTGCCCCCCACACCACCACCGGCCACGTTGCGTGTGGTCAGCGTGCGTCGGTAGGTGAATGAGTGCTGCTGCAATGGCGCGCATGCCTCGTGTGCCGTCCAGGCGAGATCGCGAGAGTGTCGTTACGAGGGGTGTCCGCTCGGCATTTACTGGGAGGAACCACAGCCACAACCACAACCACAGCCACAACCACAGCCGCACACGCGAGCCGCACCAACAATCACAGCCGCCTTAGCTCAACACAGCCACAACCATAGCCACATTCACACCCAAAACAACAACCACAACCACAGCGCTTGGCTATCTCCCGCACGCTCTGAGCTCACACAGAACTAAAGCCATCTCGTAACACCTCCTCTCACCTCCTGTCACCTCATCACACCTGGCGCTCAGCCACAGGTGTGTCTGCATATCCACCCCCAAAGGATGGCGACTCTCCTGCCTGTCATCTCTCATCTCACTCTACTCCCCTCCACGAACTCTCCTACCTCTTCCCTGTCATCTCACTCCACTCCCCTCCACGCACTCTCCTACCTCTCCCCTCTCATCTCACTCTACTCCCCTCCACGTACTCTCCTACCTCTCCCCTCTCATCTCACTGTACTCCCCTCCACACACTCTCCTACCTCTCCCCTCCCATCTTACTCTACTCCTCTCCACGCACTCTCCTACCTCTCCCCTCCCATCTCACTCCACTCCCCTCCACGCACTCTCCTGCCTCTCCCTCTAATCTCACTCCACTCCCCTCCACGCACTCTCCTACCTCTCCCCTCCCATCTCACTCCACTCCCCTCCACGCACTCTCCTACCTCTCCCCTCTCATCTCACTTTACTCCCCCCCACGCACTCTCCTGCCTCTCTCCCCTCTCATCTTCACGTTACCTCTGCTCAACAACAAATGTCTCCTGGTGAAGGCCTCAGTCTACACCCTCGCCCCCTAAAACACTTTGGTCATTCGCCAGCACTGGCTCCAGCGAGCCCCACCCTGCAGATGAGACACTGAAGTGGGGGGCTTGTGGGGGGCCTGTGGGGGGGGGGGTGGGGGGCTCACCTCGATCTTCCTCCCCTCCACCACGCTGCCGTGCAGCTTCTCCCTCGCCTGCTCCGCCTCTCCGCTGCTGTCAAACGTCACGAAGCCGAATCCCTGGGGGGCCAGGGTCAGAGGCCGGGGGTCAATTACCGGGGTTGGAGGTCAAGGTCACCACACTCGCCAGGGTCAGGGATTCAGGATCAGAGCAGTTATTGAGATCAGGATCTCTATAGACACTGGGTCAAGGTGATGATGACGATGACGATGATGATGCTCGTGATGATGATGGTGATGATGGTGGTGGCCAAGCCGCTGTGGATGTGAGCGGGAATGAATGCCGCTCACCTTTGACCCCCGCTCGTTGAAGATGATCTCTACATCCAAGATTTTTCCAAATTGCTGTGGGGGGGGGGGGGGGGGGGGGGGGAGGAGGACATGGGGTCACAGGGCAGAGGTCAGAGCCCTGAACACATGCCCTTCACCCTACTCACCCCACTCACCCCCCTCGCCTCCCCTGCCCCCTCACCCCGCTTCTCACCCCAAACATCTGCCGGAGGTCGGGGTCGCGGAAGCGGAAGGGGATGTTGGAGACGTGGAGCCTCTTGTGCTGCCCCTTGGGGGAGGGGGGGCCCCCACCGTCTGCCGGGGGCGGGGGCAGCGCCGACTCATCCTCCGTTTGCTGCTGGGAGTGGGGAGGGGCACAGAAGGGGAGCAGTGGGGGGCATGGGACGGAGGTGGGTGGTGAGTTGGGGGGGGGGGGCGATGTGCACGCTACTCGCCCGCGTGTGGGTCGCTATGGTTACACTGCACTCACCGTTGCCGTGCCGGGGACGGAGAGTCCGTGGTGAGCGGAGGTCGCGGCTGCCGTGGAGTTGCCGTGATTGAGGGGGGCTGCCGTGTAGAGGGCGAGGCTGCTCGCAGAGCCCCCCCCCAGCTGTTGAGCGAAGTCGCCCCCCAAGCCGTTCTGGGGGGGCGGTGGAGGGGGCAGGAAGGGGGCGGCCATCGGCTCGGGGCCCGCGGCAGGCGGGTCCAGCCCACCCTGCGTGACACAAGAACGCACACGTGAACACACACGCACGTGAACACACAAGAACACACGCGTGAACACACACGTGTACACACACACGCGTGATCACACAAGAACACACACGCGTGAACACACACGCGTGATCACACAAGAACACACACGCGTGAACACACACGCGTGATCACACAAGAACACACGCGTGAACACACACACACGTGAACACACACGCGTGAACACACACGCGTGATCACACAAGAACACACGCGTGAACACACACACACGTGAACACACACGCACGTGAACACACACACGTGAACACACAAGAACACACGCGTGAACACACACGCACGTGAACACACACGCACGTGAACACACACGCACGTGAACACACACGTGGACACACACACGTGTGAACACACACGCACGTGAACACACACGCACGTGAACACACACGTGAACACACACACGTGTGAACACACGCGTGAACACACACGCACGTGAACACACACACGTGAACACACACACGTGTGAACGCACGCGTGAACGCACGCGTGAACACACTTGAACACACGCGTGAACGCACGCGTGAACAAGACAAAGACTGTAGGAGCAAGTGCCGTTCGCGAGTAGTGCCGATGAATGTTGGCACGGCACACGAGCGGGTGGATGGACAGCACGATGACGCCTTTGTCTCCTCCTGTGGCGATGTTTACTACACCCCGCACCAGGTACTGATTTGAGGCTGAGTCGACCTAGGGGATGTTTACTACACCCCGCACCAGGTACTGATTTGAGGCTGAGTCGACCTAGGGGAGGCCCAGGACCGGTTCAGATAATCATCACTGGTGTTGGTCGTGAACAGGAATCAAACGCAGGTCTCTGGGTTCGTAGCACGGCGCGCTCACCGCAGCACTACCGCTCCCCATGCCGGAAACACACACGTGTACACACACACGTACACATACACACACACGTGTACACACACACGTGAACACACACACGTGAACACACACACACGTGTACACACACACGTGAACACACACACGTGAACACACACACACACGTGAACATACACACGTGAAGACACGCGTGTACACACACGTAAAGACACGCGTGTACACACACACACACGTGAACACACACACGTGAACACACACGTGAACTTACACACGTGAAGACACGCGTGTACACACACACACACACGTGAACACACACACGTGAACACACGCGTGTACACACACGTGAACACACGCGTGTACACACACACATGAACACACACACGTGAAGACACGCGTGAGCACACACACGTGAACATACACACACGTGTACACACACACGTGAACACACACACGTGAACACACACACGTGAAGACACGCGTGAGCACACACACGTGAACATACACACATACGTGAGCACACACACACACACGTGAACACACACGTGTATGACATGCCCCAGCGGGCAGTGAGTGAGTGAGCCCCGTCTTGTGTGGAGGTCCGCGGCTCTAACGCGGCAGGTCGCCCTGGTTAACCGCGCGGTGGAATTTCAACGAAACCAGGCGCCGTGTGCATCACCCACGTGACGTTGTACGGTGCCAATTTAGCACGCGTCAAACATTACACGAGTTACTTGCCAACTATTTTCTCCGGCAGTGCATTTACAAATGATTTGGCAAATAATTCGACGGGGAAATTGTCACCCCCCCCCCCCGCCGCCTCCCAAGACGCTCCTGAATAATGAGTCTTGAGACTCAGCGAGGCTGTCCCGGGTGAAGACGCGGAACAGTGACGATGATGAGAACCCCAACGCGGTTAGAAATCGGTTTGTTTCATCACCGGTAACCGGATGGACAACAAACCGGTTTCACCCCATCATCCATCCCTCCTCACCCCCTTCTCGTGGAGTTTGGATGATACGAGTATGACATGTTACAGTTTAGCGCCATGAAGAAGGGCAGTTGCCCGAACCGTCGCCTGTTATAGTTTTCCTTTTACAGGTAGGAACAACAGGTTCCACATTGCCCACCAGGGATTATTTGCCTGTCTGTCGTGCACGAATGCGCTGTCCAACCAAGTTCCTACCTGCCCACTCGGAAGGAACGTGTTATTGGCACATTTGCATATACCACGAAGTGACGGTGACGTCACCACAGCTCTTGTGCCAAGCTAGGTGCACATTGAGGCCAAGGTAGCACAGTGCTCCCCACTGTGCCACCTCGCTCTGCTTTACCCGCCCATGCGCTCCGCTCGTTGTTGTGAGCGCCGCTCCTCCACCCTCCGCTGTTGCTGGAGGGCGACTGCCTCCAACTGCTCAGTAGCAGCAGCGTCCTTCACGAGCCTCCTCTACGGAGGTTGACACCGCTAGTTCAAGTCGTCGGCAAGTCGTCCACTCGGGTCCACATCCTCCTGTACCGCATCACTCCATCTGTTCTCTAGCCCGTGCCGCGCCTGTTTTTAGCCCCTTCTGTCCGGCCAAGCAAAGGCTGCTTGGGCATGCGGTGGCTGTGCACGCCGGCTCCGTGACTCAGCCAAACAAAGCCTCGCCTAGCGGAGGAGCTCACCGATGAGACGGCGTGCCGGATCTCTCTCAAGGATCTGAGAGCTCCTCGTACACTCCAGCCTGATTGAACTCGGGATGGATCGTATGACCCACGCAGACGTTCTTATTTCAGAGTGGTCCGCGTTTCGCCAGCGTAGAGAAGGGGGGCATATAACTGTGGCCGAGAAGACTCGGGACATCGTATGTAGCGAAGGTGACGTACAAAGACAAAGATCCCCCGTATAGCCTGAACAGACTGTTGGGAAAGTGCTGTTAGCGAGCATCAAAAAGACCGGCACGGCACACGAGGGGGTGGATGGCCAACACCACGCCCGGCCGCCTTTGTCTTCCTAGTGGCGATGTTTACACACCGCACCAGATACTCATTTGAGGCTGGGGGTGAGTCGACCTAGGGGAGGCCCGGCACCAGTTCCAATAATCGTCACTGGTGTTAGCCGTCAGCGGGAAACAAACTCGGGACCGCCAGGTTCGTAGCGCAGCGCGCTAACCGCTGCACCACCGCTCCCCCCAAAGGAGACATACATGGATGTGCACATAAACACACACAGACAGACACACACACAGACATTAAGACCCACAAAGACAAATGTATATAGAAATATAGGCACAAATATATTAGGACACGGACACAAAGACAAACATCCCCCGTATAGCCTTAACATACTGTAGGGGCAAGTGCTGTTAGCGAGCACCTATGAAGGCCGGAACGGTACACGAGGGGGTGGGTGGCCAGCACCACGGCCGACCGCCTTTGTCTCCCTAGTGGTGATGTCTACACATCGTACCAGGTACTCATTTGAGGCTGAGTCGACCTAGGGGAAGCCCAGGACCGGTTAAGATAATCGCCACTGGTGTTGGCCGTGAGCGGGAATCGAACCCGGGTCGCCGGGTTCGTAGCGCAGCGTACTAACCGCTACATTACCGCTCCCCACACACGCGGACACACACACGGACACACACACACGGACACACACAGACGTACACACACACGGACACACACACACGGGCACACACACACGGACACACACAGACGTACACACACAGACAGACACACACACACGGGCACACACACACGGACACACACAGACGTACACACACACACGGACACACACACGGACACACACAGACGGACACACACACACGGGCACACACACACGGACACACACAGACGTACACACACACACGGACACACACACGGACACACACACGGGCACACACACCGACGAACGAACCCCGAGGAGGCCGCTAATTTGCGCACCCCACGGACCCCGATCTCCCTTCCCTCCCACGTGGGCAGGTGAGGGAGGGGAGGGGCTCACCTGGGGGAGGGGAGGGGCTCACCTGGGGGAGCGCGAGCAGCTTGATTGGCAGCGCGGAGAGGCCGAGTGGGGGGCCCAAGACCCCCCGTGCAGACAGCATCATCGCGGGGGGGGGTAGGGGAGACGGGGTTGGGGAGAGGGGGGGGGCGACGACCACTGAGGGGAGGGGGGGTGGGGGGGGGGAGGGAGGGGGGTGTCGTGGGGGGGGGCGGTAATTAATTTAATCCACGTGAGGCCCCCCACGGAGGTGGCTCAAGGAGAGCCGCTTCACCCCCCCCTACCCCCACGTCGCCCCCCACCCACCCACCCACCTCGCATCCAGCTAAGCGAGACTCGCGTAACGCGGGATAACGGCGGGGGTTACCGGAGGGGTAACGGCGGAGTAACGGAGGGGTAACGACGGGGGGTAACGGCGGGGGTAACGCGGGGTAACGGCGGGGCAACGGCGGGGTAACGGAGGGGTAACGGAGGGGTAACGACGGGGGTAACGGCGGGGGTAACGCGGGATAACGGCGGAGGTTACCGGAGGGGTAACTGAGAGGTAACGGCGGGGTAAAGGAGCGCGGTCAGTCCTCGCTGACGCCGCGAGCGCGACTGAGGAGGGCGGCACGGCTCGTGCCGATATATTTAGGTGCCCCCCCCCACCACCCCCCACCCCCCCCACCACCACCCCCATGCCTCCTCCCGCGGGGGGGGGAGGGGTAGAGCGAGGGGATCAAGTGTCTCCCGCGTGCGGCAACGGGGGAGCGGGGGGGGGAGCGGGGGGGGTCCACCCTCCCCGTGACACCTGCTCCCCTTTGTCAGTGGAAGCTGACAGGGAGTCCTCGACCCCTCCCCCGCGAGCCCCGCCCCTCCCCCGCGAGCCCCGCCCCTCCCCCGTGAGCCCCGCCCCTCCCCCGCGAGCCCCGCCCCTCCCCTGCGAGCCCCGCCCCTCCCCTCCCCCGCGAGCCCCGCCCCTCCCCCGTGAGCCCCGCCCCTCCCCCGTGAGCCCCGCCCCTCCCCCACGAGCCCCGCCCCTCCCCCGCGAGCCCCGCCCCTCCCCCTCGACCCCCGCCCCAGCTGTTCCCTCCCACGGCGAGGAATCGTCTCAAATTGCACCCCCCACCCAACCTCATCGCCACTGACACCGTCCCATCACCACATCATCACATCGCCATCACTGTCACCACATCACCATCAACATCACCACATCACCACATCATCACATCACCACATCACCATCACCACATCACCATCAACATCACATCACCACATCACCATCACCACATCATCACATCACCACATCACCATCAACATCACCATCACCACATCACCATCACCACATAATCACATCACCACATCACCATCAACATCACCACATCAACATCACCACATCATCACATCACCACATCACCATCAACATCACCACATCAACATCACCACATCACCATCACCACATCAACATCACCACATCACCATCACTATCACCACATCACCATCAACATCACCACATCATCAACTCGCCATCACTATCGCCACATCACCACCGCCATCACTGTTACTATCACCACATCACTATCATCACATCACCACATCATTACATCGCCATCACTATCACCACATCACCAGCACTATTACCACATCACCACATCACCATCAACATCACCACATCACCATCACTGTCACCACATCATCACATCGCCATCACTATCACCACATCACCATCACTATTACCACATCACCACATCAACATCACCACATCACCATCACTGTCACCACATCATCACATCGCCATCACTATCACCACATCACCATCAACATCACCACATCACCATCACCACATCATCACATCACCACATCACCATCACTATCACCACATCACCACATCAACATCGCCATCACTGTTACTATCACCACATCACTATTACCACATCACCACATCAACATCGCCATCAATATCACCACATCACCAGCACTGTGACTTTCCTATCACCACATCACCATGGCTCTTACTATCACATCAGCACATTAACATCACTATCACCACATCACCACATTACCATGGCTCTTACTATCACATCACCACATCACCAGCACTATGACTTTCCTATCACCACATCACCATATCACGATTACTGTTACTATAATATCACTATCATCACCACCTCACCATCACCACATCACTATGGCGACTCCATCACCATCACCACATCGCCATCACGATGACCACCACCACATCATCCACACCACATCACCATCACTAGTACATCCCTAAACTTAACATTTGTGAAGAAGAGCTTCATAGCTCACCGGATTTCTCCAGTATAAATAAAGGTTATTGATTCTGAAAATATTACCATGACATCACCACCATCACTGAACCACAACACCACGTGACCCCTACATCACCGCCCCCGCCCCTTCCCTCGACAACAGATGGCCCCGCCCCCGGGCCAAGGCGACCCCCTCCCCCTTCAGCCCCTCCCCTACAGCCCCTCCCCCACAGCCCCTCCCCCATCAGCTCCCTCCCCCATCAGCCCCCTCCCCCATCAGCTCCCTCCCCCACAGCCCCTCCCCCACAGCCCCTCCCCCATCATGCCCCTCCCCCATCATCCCCCTCCCCCACAGCCCCTCCCCTACAGCCCCTCCCCCATCAGCTCCCTCCCCCACAGCCCCTCCCCCATCATCCCCCTCTCCCACAGCCCCTCCCCCATCAGTGCCTCCCCCATCAGCTCCCTCCCCCATCAGCCCCTCCCCTACAGCCCCTCCCCCATCAGCTCCCTCCCCCACAGCCCCTCCCCCATCAGCCCCTCCCCCCCCATCAGCTCCCTCCCCCATCAGCCCCTCCCCCATCAGCCCCCTCCCCAAATCACCCCCCTCCCTCCGCTCCCTCCCTCCGCCCCGCGTCTCGAGACCCCCTCGCCCCCCCCACGCTGCCCGCGACCCCTGCGTCTCGACGCCTTCATCGGGCGCAGTGACCCCCACCCCCTCCTCCTCCACCTCTTCCCCCAGCCCCTCCCCTACCCGCTCTGGCACCGAAGCCACGCGAACCCAGGTCTGTGTGGGGTGGTGAGTGTGGTGTGTGTGAGTGAGTGTGAATGTGGTGAGTGAGTGAGTGCGGTGGGTGTAGTGTGGTGAGTGTGGTATGAGTCAATGTGGTGAGTGCGGTGGGTGTCGTGTGGTGAGTGTGGTGAGTGTGGTGTGAGTGAATGTGGTGAGTGAGTCAGTGCGGTGGGGGTAGTGTGGTGAGTGTGGTGTGAGTGAATGTGGTGAGTGAGTGAGTGCGGTGGGTGTAGTGTGGTGAGTGCGGTGAGTGTAGTGAGTGTGTGGTGCGTGGGTGAATGTGGTGAGTGCAGTGAGTGTAGTGTGTGTGTGGTGTGGGAGAGCGTGGTGCGTGGGTGAAGGTGGTGAGTCAGGGCGGTGAGTGTAGTGTGTGTGTGGTGCGTGGGTGAATGTGGTGAGTGAGTGTAGTGTGTGTGAGAGCGTGGTGCGTGGATGAATGTGGTGAGTGAGTGTGGTTTTCACGTGAATACCAATTGTCCACGTGTCCCGCGCTCGCGTTGCTCGCATTGATTGGATTGCTCTCTGTTGGGGGTAAAACTAATTACAGACGGGGGGGGGGGGTAATAAAGGACGGGTTATTGAGATGAAATATCGATGCGAGGTATATATCGTCATCGCGAGACATGGCATATCTACCGCTGGATGAAGGCTTCCCCGTGGACGTCACAATCTCTCACGGGTCCTACGATGCCCCAATCTATCTCACGAATTGCAAAGAGTTCGCCTGTTTACGATCCAGCCTCGATATAACCAGGACGGATTGTGTGAGGAGCTCACAAATCATTGAGAAATCTGGACACGGTCCCCCATCATCGGTGAAGCTCCGCCGACAGGCGAGGCTGCGTTTCCTGGGTCGCGTCGCCCGCAAGCCCAGCCACAGCGTCCCGAAGCGGCTTCTGTTTGGCCGGGCAGAGGGGGCTAAAGGGGCACGGCACAGGCTGGAGAAGAGACGGAGCTCATGCGGTCGAGAGGGATGTGGAGCCGAGTGGATCTGCTGATGACCGGACAACCAGCGGTGCCAAGATCGACTTCTGCGGAAGAGGAGGCTCGTGAAGGACGCTGCCGGGCAGTTGGAGGCAGTCGCCCTCCCACAACAACGACGGAGGGCGGAGGAGCGAAGCTCACCACGCGAGGCTGCGTCAAGCGGAGAACCCACGTCGAACAGGAAGGGTTCTTACCGATAAACATCTGCAGGCCGTTGACCAGCATTGATTTGGTAATTGCAAAGCCTGACCGACTCTGCGAATGAGACGCCGATTTCAAAAGCCGGTCCAGAGTTTTGCTTGCGTTTTGAACCCCATGCCGCTGGCATGCACATCTGATGGGATGTGTAACGAATATTTAGTTCACGTGGAGGGACGGATATGGGAAGGAGGCGGATTTGTCTGCCGATTTGGTTTTGTTCGTCGGATGCACGCGTGTCCACGCAGACAGGGAGACACGCTGTCGTGAGGCAGAGAGAGAGATAGGGAAAGACAGAGACGCGGCCACAAAGACAAATATCTCCCGTTCTATAGACTTGCAAGACTGTTGAGAAAGTGCTGTTAGCGAGCACCTATGAAGACGAGAACGGCACGACGAGTATGGCTTGGTAGCCAGGCGCCACGCCCGGCCGCCTTTGTCTCCCCAGTGGCGATGTTTACACACCGCACCAGGCACTAATTTTTAACGCTGAGTCGACCTAGGGGAGGGCCGGAGGGCCGGTTCAGATCATCGTCACCGGTGTTGACCGTGAGCGGGAACCGAACATCGGTTCGCCGGGTTCGTAGCGCAGCGCGCCAACCCGCGGCACTGCCGCTCACGGAGGGTCAGACACGGGGCGGAGAGGATCACGTCCACAAGTTAGCACGGCACACAGCGGGGGGCAGGCGCCGGAGTGCCCCCACCCGCGTCCCCCTGATCCCCCTCCTCCCTCCACCTCCTCCCTCCTCCCTCCTCCCTCCTCCTCCTCCCTCCTCCTCCCTCCTCCTCCCCCCAACCCGTGCCCCCCACGAGGGTCGCGATGTTTATTTGACAGAGGCCGCCCCGGGCCGCATGCCCAGTTGCGACCCCTATTAACCGGGGTCAATTAGCCGGAACC